GAAAGATACTACATTTAATCTGATGGGTTTTGTTACCTTGGTTAGCTTCCTTACCCAGTCGGCCTTAGGCCTTGCTGGGACCCAATCCAGCAAAGCTTTTAGCACGTGTTTAAGTTTAAGCATGTGTTTAACTTCCCTTGATTAAAGTTAAACACATACTTAAGTGCTTTGCTGAACTGGGGTTTCTCTGAAGTAAGGCATGTGGGATGCCAGCCAATTTCTTTCCATAGTTGTGATCAATTCTACCCAACTCCGCAGGTTTTTCTTAATATATTTTATACCAAGTTGATTTTGACTATTGATAAGAAGATACTTACCTCCATATCAATAATTTGCAAGTGTGCATGCACACATGCAGAGAACTTTTGCTTGTCTGTAAATTTGTAACAATCTGAGAGGGAAGTAAGATACAGAGAAAAACACCACTGGGTGTATTTCTTAGGCAAAATGTGTTTAAATTCAGACTGTGGCCTGAAAGGCCTGCTAAGATTCTCCAGTCATAGCTCATTTTCATTAGTAATGTGCCAGTGATGGCCGCTGAAGGTGACTTTTTGTAGCAGTGTAACATTCAAAGCAACTGTCAACCTTTTCAGTCAATATGAAGAAAGCAGTCAAAGCAAAGGAGGCAGCATCACCCAATGCCTGAAAGATCAAATCCTATATTTGATTTGAACTGAACTAGTTGATGAAATTGGTCTGGGATGATGACTTCTGGTTCAGTCATAGTGTAGTACAATGAATGAAGCTGAATTCTTTCACCTTGTGTAGTTGCAGTAACAATTTTTGTCATCCTGTTTTGAAGGCCATTTTGTTCCAGCTCAGCCTTGAGATGCCAAGCTGAACTGGCTGAGGCATCTATGTTACCTGTCCAGCAAAGGAGGAGTCAAAAATAAGAAGAAACATCACCCTTTCCACCCAAATGGAGAAGAAAGTGTACTGCGGCATACTGCTCCTCAAAAGGCCATAATGCTTCCCATCTACGGAAAACAGCCCAGAGAATGAAATGTATTCTTAAATAATACAGGAGCCCTGTTGCTCCAAACCACATGGAAGATATAAGTAATAGTGAAATGGCTTTGAATTTGTCAAGAAAGGCCATCCACAGTTGCAACAATGTGAGGTTATCGCAGAGAGCACTGTTAGCCACACTTGCACAAGCACACAACGTTCCCTTGGTTGAATCCTGAGAGCAAATAAGAAATCGAGAATAGCCCTTCTGCTTTTGTGCTCTCAAGCAAAGTATTTGTGAAAATAATTGTTATGGTAGGGATGCCTGTGAGCCTTTTCCTGTTATAGCATTTGACCAGTTTAGATGCAGATAACTGCAAGCTCACGTCACTATCATTTTGTTAAACATCATTGCCTTTTGACCTCTCTCAACACTGTTTACTTTTCTGAAAATCATTAAGCTTATACTGGGCAAAGCATCAGTCTGTTACAACTCCCTGTTTTTCTCTCAGCTTTCCAACTATGACATAATTTAGAGCAGCCGCTTCTAAAAATGTAGCAAGACCTTAGACTGGCCTTGAATTAAATGAACTGAAGTCACATCAGTCACACCAATGCAAAGTAAGCAAGAAAGGAATAAACCAAGTATCCTAGTCAAATATTTTTTCTCCTCCAAAGCTGTTGTTTAAAGGTAAACTCCCACAACTAATTATAGTGTCTTGTATTCTCTCTGGTGCATATGGTGCTTCAATTCCTGATTTTAACCTGCCTAATTTGGTGCTGAAGAAAGCCCTGAAAATAAACAAGTAAGAATACTAAAATTGACAGTGTCTGAGCAAGTCTGAAACAAGAATTTTTTCTAAAATCCAACCTATCCATCCATTAATTTAGCTTTATTTGTGCCAAAGATTATTTTCTCTGGCCATTTCAATTGATGCTAACCATGTAAATCCTTTGGGAATTAATGGAAGAGAGACTTATGTGTTGCCAGACCACAGATGAGCTCATAGCCACACAAGGAAATTAATTAATAAGGAAAGACTGAGATGCATTAGTTTCAGTCAATTTGCACATTCCAGGGATCACTAGTAAAGTAACTGTTGTCATAATATTTTTTCTTTTAATATTGAAAAGTATTCAGACCACACAACTGAATACTGCCCTACAGAATCTTCAAAATTCTGTGCTACAGGATGTACATCTGTAATTCCATTCACTTGTCTGCTAGACACATGTGCGTTGCAGGGCATAATTTGGCCCATCATTATGTTTTCCTAACATAAATTAACATTTTTCCCAAGCTACCAAGCCAAACACAACAATAACTACTGCCAGTATCTCTACAGTAATTTCTAAATATAAACTCAGGGGCCATAAGATGCTTACCATAGTGTTGTAATTTGGATCAATATTGAAGGTTGGAGAAGTGCTGTGCATTTTGGAGAGCTGCCCGTCATTCTTTGCTTTCCTTAGAACATCATAAATGGGGTTTGGAGGTTTCTGATCACGAAGAATTTTTTTCAGCTGGCTTTCCAGGCGTTGTGGGGCATCATTAACTACTTCGAAAACTCCAAAGTCAGGGTTAAACTTAACTGGCTGGGCAAAAGTCTACAAAAGAAGTTTGGAAAGTTTATAACATTGTAATAAGGGAACTCCTTCATTTAAGAAAGTTACTTTTTATAGTATAGAAGCATCCTACAGAATGCAAGCTGGTATTATAAGGCTTCTTTCTCTTGCCTGCTGTAGTTTATGTTCAGGGCCTGGAACAGTAATTTTTCTGTAATTTTTTAGTCTCTTCGCTGTATAGCTTTCCAAAGCATTCCTACTTTTTGTCTCAGCTATGCTTAATTGTCAAGAATTTCACTCATTCTGGATCACAGACCGTTCTTTATCACATGCAAATAATAGATCCACAGATGTCTAGAATATGTAATTCACAGTGACTTTAGTAACTGTTCTGCGGGAGACTACTTACCTACAGGATCAGATCTCCAGTGTTATTCTCCCATTTATTACCACGAACAACCAAGGCTTGGAAAGATTAGCAGTGAAGCTGACCTTTTAAATGTGAGAAGCATTTGAAGAGTAGGAATCTGAAGATTTCCATATGTAGGAAAGCCTTTTCACCATATTCTTACTTGTAGGTCAAACACCTACCAAAACCTATGCCCTGTAGTAAGTTTTATTATATATCATTTGTTCAGTCAGATATATGAGGTAGACCAAACTTCAACTTCAGCTGTGTAATTGTAACTTTTGTCAACTCCAAAAAACCCACTGCATGTGTACACATTCAAACAGAACCATCTTTCATCTTTTGAGCTCTGGTATTAGGTATTTCCCTAAAAGACTATCTTTCAAATTCTCTTACTTGAAATGAAGAGGGAAAACATGGATGGATTTCATAGAATCATAGAATTGTTTAGGTTGGAAAGGACCTTTAAGATTATCGAGTCCAACTGTACACCTAGCACTGCCAAGTCCACCACTAAACCCTGTCCCTAACCACCACATCTACACGCCTTTTAAATGCATCCAGGGACGGTGACTCTACCACTTCCCTGGGCAGCCTGTTCCAGTGCTTGACAACCCTTTTGGTGAAGAAATTTTTCCTAACATCCAATCTAAACCTCCCCGGCGCAACTTGAGGCCATTTCCTCTCGTCCTATCACTGCTTACTTGGGAGAAGAGACTGACCCTCACCTCTCTACAACCTCCTTTTAGGTCATTGTAAAGAGCGACAAGGTCTCCCCTCAGCCTGCTCTTCT